GTTTTGAGTTTTGAGTTTTTTTTTTTTTTCACCCAAAACTAGCCACCACCCGCCACCATTTTCCACCACCGTCTTTCGCCACCATCACCCACCACCACTTACCACGCCACCACCACTACCCACCTGCCACCCACCAGTTACCACAGCGCACAACTCAACTGCCACTCACTCGCCACCACCACCCATCTCTCGCTGCCGCACCGCCACCACCACCACCCACCTACCATCTACCTGCCACTACCATCCACTTACCCGCGCACCACTACTCACCACCTGCCATCCACTATTCACCATCTGCCACCACCTGCCACTCACTCCGCCACCACGCTTCCACTACTCACCCACCACCACCACCCACCACTCACCGCCACTACCACCGCCCACCCACCTCCCACCACCACCCACTCGCTACTACCCACGACCCCACCGTCACCACCCACCCACCCACCACCACCACCGCCTTCCGCCCCACCTGCCACCAATACCCACCACCCGCCACCACTGCTACGCCACGTCGCTACAATCCACCACTTGCCACCGTCATCCACCACCCGCCACCTACCCGCCACCACACACACCACCTGCCACCATCCGCCACCCACTGCCACCACCACCTACCACCGCGCCACTCACCTGCTACCACCCACCACCTGCCATCGTTACCCCACCCACCCACCACCAGCCACCCACCTGCCACCACCACCACCACCACCCACTCGCTACCACCCACCACCACCCACGTCACCCACTCACGCCGCCATCACCGCCACCGCCACCACCACCACCACACCACCCGCCACCACCTACCACCACCCGCCAGCCACCATCCACCTGCCACGACCACCACCACCACTATCACCACCACCCACTCGCTACCGTCTACCACCCGCCACGGTCACCCACCCACCCACCAACCACCACCACCACCCACCACCGTCACCCCACCCAACCATCACCACTACCGACCCGCCACCACCCGCTACCCATCACCCACCGTCACCACTTTCCACCACCGTCTTCCGCTGCCACTTGCTACCACTGCCATTTTTCACTCTTTTTTATATTTTTTAAATTTTGTAAACATTTTGTCAATTACCAAACGCGTTTGTAGTTTATGTTTTTCTAAAAATAAACAAAAAATAAACAAAAACCAGTTTATAAAAATTTTGTAAATATAAACTGAAAACGTAAACGTTACCAAACAGACCCTCTATATTTACTTTTTGAATAAAAAAAAATATTTCCATCCTTTAATTAAGAGTGCTGGGTTGGAGATGGTCTAATGGGGAGATAAGTGTAATTTTTCAAATGTGAAAAGAGAATCTGTATTAAAAAGAAATATTAGGGGTGTCAGTGTAATTTACCCTAATATTATTTATTTTATTTTTTTTTATAGATGGAGGCACCTCCAAATACACTTAAAAAAAATGTATTGGTCACTTTATTTTTTTAATTATTTTTAATACCATTTTACTCCTAAGTAAATTATCAGAAGTGATAAAATATGAAGTTTGACTAGTTCTTCCATCTCAAGCCAATCCCTCTCGCTACTCTCCAATTCTTTCCTACCCCTCGACACCACCACCCAACACCGTTCCACCATTTCGGGGCACTCCTAACCCCTTTCTACCGTCTTCATTGCCCCAACATACTTCTTCATCACAACTTTCCATTCTTTTTTTCTTATTTTATTTATTTATTTTTTTTCTCTCTCTCCCTGTTATTGTTTGTGTGGTTAGTGAAGTTAGGATTAGGGTTTCAAAGAGAGGAAAAATGAATGTGTAGTAATGTGAGCCCAAAGACGTAAAATAATTATTTGAAAACTTTTTCAAGCAAATGCGCATTTCTTGTGAGTGTTAGAGAAGTATGGAGAGAGGAACAACAAATAATAGAAACTGAAAGAAAGGAGATAACATGGGATAGAAAAGGGGTGAAGGCATCAGGGGGTAGGGGAGGAGGTGTCCCAAACCCACTATACTTGGACAATTCTACCTTACAACCTCACTTCACGCACAACCTTTTTTCCCTTTCCACCGTCACATGCAACCACCCTGTCTTCCTACTCCATTGGACACCACAACAAAATCACAAAAAAAATATACCACACCGAAATCAACCGTCATCGCAACAAGCTCTGAATCAACCATCGCCATCTTGTCCTTATTAAACTACATGAATCACAAGACCTTTGTGCCAAGTAGAGTTGTGCAATCATTTTTCGAGTTAGAAGTCAACATTTTGATACCTCCTTATTTTTCCTCCCACTACAGATTAGCATTGCAATTTCCCTCCTCCACCTCTTGTGGTGCATTACGCTATTCTTTATCCTTTGAACTAATCTAAATATGTACTTAAAAAATGGGCATTCTAACAGTAGTAGTTATGGCATAAAATAGAGACATGAGCTGTAAGGGAGACTATTCTCCATTTGTTTTTGGTTAGGTAGATTATATTCCATTATTTGTATAGATTAATGAAGAACTACAGGTTAATCAATGTCGCCGTCGGTTGGTCCATCTCCTCAAGATAAGGACATGAAAATGATGCTAGAGGCATAACTGATCACATATATATACATGAACTCCAAGGTGTCTAAAAGATGTAAGACTTGTAATGTGGTTAAACTAACCCCAATGCATCATTTGTTTATCAAAATGATTTTGACTTTAATTGACACCCAATTGTTCATCACAAATCCCAAACCGCAAATCACATTTAATTTCATTAGCTGTACACTAATCTGGTTGTGACGTAAACATTTGTGGCTGAGAACATACCAAAGAGGCCAGTGCAATGTACCCATCATTGGCTAAGCTAGGATGATATAGGGATAAAAGTCATAATGATAGACCTACCAAATAATGATGCTACTATATGTATTTGCTGAATTGTCAGTTGTATTTGGTGAAATCATATGGGTTTTAGTGGGTATCCCACATGCCGTGTTTTGCCAGGCTGCTAAAATGAGCATACATGTCTTTTGTTTATCCAACTTGATGAAGTGGGGCACAGATGTATGTGAGTGCAAAATTAATAAAAACAAATTGAAGGTAAAATTATATCTCAAGGCCTTGTAATTTACGTTGTATTAATTTAATTTTTATAATTCTAATTATATTAATTTTATCTTTCAAATTTTTATATTATTTTAGTTCATTCCAATTACCATCACTTTTCGGCTAATTACTGTAAATTTGGTTGATTTGTTAGATAATTTAAACATTTTAAAGTGACAAAATTTTAATTTATAATTTAAACATGTATATTTGTTTTCTATATTGTAACATATATATATACATATATTTATGTTTTATCAAATGACAATTAATTAACATATAAATACATTGAACTCGAGTTGAATTAGGTTTTGATCACTAATTTTACTGGCGAGGAGTCGTACTAAGAACCATTGTTCACATTGTGAGTTGAGGCCCATGTTTTCTCAAAAACCAGTTTGCATTAGTATTTAATAATTAAATATGGAATTACACAACTTAATAACCAACTAGGCCTAACTTAGTTGGCCACTATACCTTCCTTAGGGCTGAGTTCCAAAGAAGTCGTGTGTTTAATTTCCTTTATGCTGTGTTTGGTTGAGGGATTTGAGGAGGGATTTGGAAAGAGAAATGAAAAAGGTAGGTGAAATGTGAAAAAAATATACCTACATTTCACATAGTTTCACATACCTTTTCCCTTTCCCTTTCCAAATCTCTCCCCAAATCCCCCAATCAAACACAATATTAGAGGGATTAAATTAAGGGAGTGCAAGCACTTAGGTGTTTTGCCAAGGGTAGGGAAATTTTTTCTCATAGGTACTAATCTAACAACTAACAACTAACATTTGCTGATAAAAAAAAAAAAACAACAACAACAACTTAATGATTTGCCAATTCAACCTACAAATAGATAATCATTAAAACCACACTAATTTAGTCATTTTAATTAATTAAGAGAATGATAAATTATCTAAAATCATAATATGAAATTTTTATCCGAGTGGTATGACTACATTAAAAAATCGATAGTGCTACATATATTAATTAGTGTACATACTAATGTATCAACTAATATTATGATATTATTATTGATCACATTTAAGAGTGTTTTGAAAAGTTGGTAAAGTTTTTTAACTTGTTTAGTCTATTTTATCTTTTTATAGGTAAAAAATATGAAAAGTAATGTGACCCAAAAGGAATAAAAAGTTAAAAACTAACTTTTTATTTTCTTTTCAAAAGATCCCTTATTATATAAGTTATAAATATCTAAAATAATACAAATAATATTGTATTATCTATTAATATATTAATATATACGTTAATTAATATATCTAATATTATTCTTAAAAAATAATGGACTATGTCAGGCTTGGACAGTGTAGCTATGAATCCCGCCTACAAAAGCCAGCCGATTCAAATTGCGGTTTTGGATTATAATATCATACAGTAATTAATTATGCTGCACGATCTCACACGGAAGCCTAGCCTAGTTTAAATGTAATTTGGTCAACTTAACATATGAGAAATTAAGGATATATATTTAAAGGTGTATAAATGTATATTAGTAACATATTATATATTTATTATTGTTATTTATATGTACACTAGCAACATAATATGTTTTATTGATTATTAAACATATTGTTATAATAAACAATACTTCATTTATTGTAGTGTTTAAGAAAAATTAAATATATGCAATTCTATTGTTCAAAAAAGAAATTTTCATAATTTGAACTCATGAAATTAATATATTAATCATTACAACTAAATAATTAATGATTTTAAATTGCAACAATGATTCATCCCTCCTTTTCCTCCCACCCCCTTTGACCCCCTCTCCCTCTTTCATTGGTTACATTTTCTTTTTCTTTTTCTTTTTTTTCCTGCTCCTCCAATCACCACCCGCCACGTGACAAAGGGGGGTAAGGGGTGACCCCCAAAAGGGGGTCCCAAGCATTATTCTTTAAATTGTATGATTTTGGGTAGACTTACCTATAATCAATGGTTCGTTTTAATTTCTTGTAATCTCTATCCTTTCTAGGAAATATCCAATTGTCTTGATTCAAATCTGTAGCCAGCTCATTCCAACAAGTCGCATCCTCCTACCCCTACTACATCCAAAACTCATAAAACCCCCTCACAACACTCCAACCCCACACCACACCACACCACACCACACCACCGCAACTCACCACCATGGCCTCCACACCTCTCTTCTCCATCATCCTCTCTCTCACCTCCCTTCTCTTCCTCCTCCTCACCCCCCACATCCAAGCCCAATCCCCCTCAGCTCCATCCCCCTCCCCCTCCGGCCCAATCAACATCACCGATATCCTCGTCAAAGGTGGCCAATACAACATCTTAATTCGCTTCCTAACATCAACCCAAGTCGTCAACCAAATCAACAACCAAGTCAACAACTCCAACGACGGCATGACCGTCTTCGCCCCCACCGACAACGCCTTCTCTAACCTCCCCTCCGGTACACTCAACAACCTCTCCACCCAACAACAAGTCCAGCTAGTCCTATACCACGTGTTGTCTAAGTACTACAGCTTAGCCGACCTTTTAACCGTCAGTAACCCGGTTCGAACCCTAGCATCCGGCCAAGATGGTGGTGTTTTCGGGCTTGACTTTTCCGGTGCGGGCAGCCAGGTCAATGTCTCCACTGGCATTGTCGAGACTATAGTCAACACTGCTTTGCGTTCTAATTTTCCATTGGCGGTTTATTCGTTGGATAAAGTTTTGTTGCCTAAGGAATTCTATGAAGCTAAGGCTCCGGCACCGGCTCCGACTACCAACGTCACTTCCAGCAGCTCAAACTCAACAAAATCAGCGGCCTCTCCGCCTTCTCCGGCGAGCGGCTCAGGACGGTTACAAATGGGGGTGGGTTTGGTTGCTTCGATTGTGTTGTTTTGCATGGGATTATTTTGATGAGGAAAGCTGATTTTTTTTTTTTTGGGTGGAAAATGATGGTATGAGTTGGTGTTTGAGGTATAGCATTGATACCTTGCCACATTAAAGCTGTTTGTACTTCTTTGTTTTGATTCTCTTCTCGTTTTCTGTTTTTTTTTTTTTTTTTGGCTATGCCTGCATTGTTTGATTGTTTTTGTTAGTAAATAATGCAATAATATTTACTGTATATTTACTTTTTGTGTGTTTGCCATAGGAGTCTTTTGGGAAGGAAAAAAAAAAAAATTAATTTTTATTTTTTTACTCATTTTTATCACATCATCTCTCACAATTTTTTATCCATAAAAAAATAAAATAAACTAAAAAAAAATTAAAAAGTCGATGCCCAAGTTGCTTTAGTGGCATTTGTTCTCTTGTATTGATGCAGACGAGGTATTTGGATCCAAGAGCACCTCACATGCACCTTGGACTTGAAAAGTTAACCCCAAAAAAATATAGAACACATGTCCTATGTTTGAAGAAAATATAATTAGTTTTATGTTTTTAACATAATTATATTAATTTAAAAAAAAAATTTAATATACATAACACTTAAGATTATTTTTGTTAGTAGTTTATTAGTTGTATGAATAAAAAATACTAATGTTATAATCTCTTTCCTACTAAAATATATATATATTTTTATTTATTTCAATATCTATCTACCATTGACATTAGTTTTGATCGTTTTAATTATATTAAAAATGAAATCTATATATTATATAAGGAAAGAGAATTTTAGTGAGAAGAGCTAAGAAAGCTCTAAGGGCTCAATCCAAATTTCTTGATTTTTCAATTTAAAAAAATAATTAATAATTCACACACTAACATTTTCTTTTTTAAACAAAGAACGTATTTTTTATTCCTAAAATCATTCCTTTTTTACCATCAAACTAGCTTATCACCCGTGCTATGCATGGCATAAAATAATATATTATTTACGGTTCCGATTGGTAGCTCGAAAATTATTGGCTCGAATTGGCTCAAAACCCAAAACGACGTCGTTTTGAATTTTTTTTTTCACTTTTCCAAAGAAGAAGAAGGAGAAGGAAGAAGGAAGAAGAAGAAGAAGTTGGAGATCATTATCAACAACAACATCTCTATCAACACATCACCATCAGTCAATAATTTTTTTTTCCCCCTTCATCTTCATCTTCATCTTCATCTTCATCTTCAGATCCAATAGGGAAAAAAAAAAATCAACTTTTCCCCTTCAGCTTCATCTTCATCTTCATCTTCAGATCCAGATTCAGATCTAGTAGAGAAAAAAAAAAATCAACAATACCATCTTCATCAACACATCATCATCATTAAACAACAACATCTTCATCATCATCATTATCAACACATCATCATCAACCAATAATTTTTTTTTTGCCCTTCATCTGCAGAGGTGAAAGAGAGGTGAGAGTGATTCCTCCTTTCGCGAGAGATGAGAGGGATGAGAGAGATCGAGAGGTGAGAGTGCGGAGGCGGAGAGGAGAGGAGTGCAAAGGGAAAGGAAAAGAAAAGATAGAGAGGAGAGAGAAATTCGTATTTTTGAGCCCTTTCGAGCCAAAACTTTCGAGTTACGGTTCATTTTCATATTATTTATTAAAAATATGATAATTATATTTAATTTTTTGTATTTGGTCTCTCGTAAATAAAATTTTATATATAAGTTTAAGAGTTTTATTTCAAATATTTCTTTACTATAATATATAGTATAGATAGATTAAAATTGTTGTACTGACATAGTTCAAATACTTCACTATTTTAGAATAAAAATAAATGAATTTTTAAAAATTGTTATATTGATTTTTGAAAAGAAAATAATTAAAGAAATTTTAAAAACTTAATGAGTAATAAATAATTATCGTAACATGTAAATTAAAATATCAAAAAAAGGTTAAAAATGAATAAAGACTTTAAAAAGATGTGTTTATAATTAAAACTAATGCCATAATTATTAATAAGTATAATTTTATTTGGATATCTATTCATACTTCAACATGCTTATTTTTAAAAAATAAAAAATAAAAAAAATTAATAATTTTGAGTTTTAAAATATGATATTGTAGACTTGCTATATTAAATTTTGGAAAGAATATATTGGAATTTTTTTACAAAAATTGAATATTAGTCATTGAACAAATCGTATAAGATTTAAAACAAAATTTATAATAGGAAGAAATTAATGACATTGCAACATATGCATTTTAACATTTTTAAATTTTGAAAAATATAAAATTAGGACTTTGAATTTCAATTATCGTACAACATTTTTATTTATATAATAATATAAATAAGGATAGGTAATAGATAGATCAAAATTAATTATAAATATAGCTACATTTAAAAGGATATGGGCTTGTATAGTTATATTTTAAATTCCAAAATTTATTTTTTAACTTCCTATATAAAAAGATTCAAAATGTTAAATTACATATGTTTTTTTTTCTGAAAACATATGAACTCACAGTGAAATAGAGAAAGAAGTACTATAAAGGAATAAAGAAGCTGCACATATTAAAGATAAATAATTAAATAATTGACTAACACCTTTAATAGTTTGAAAAAATTGATTAAAATTAAAAAAAAAAATTAATAGCTTAGAAACATTATTATATGCCTTTGAAGTAATGCTCTGCACCAACAGTCAATTAACACATATCATGTAAGTAACTTTAATATCTTAGTAAAATCTACTAAGATGAAAGAGCTTTCAACACTACATGAAAAGAAAAAAATGAAAAGAAAAATAGGAAAAGCAAACAACCGAAATACATTATTGTGAAGCAATATGCTTCCTTGCAACTAAAATACCCAGTTAACAATTATAGACATAAAATTATAATAGCATAAAAAGTCGAGAAAAATCATGATAGATCCCCATATTAAAGTTATAATAGCATTGGGCTGCTAATGGGACAGGAAAGTGAAAACAAAATTACACTGTGGCACATTATCAATGAAGATTTTGAAGTAGAAAAACATGAATCATCCATTATAAGTTTGTAACTGTTGGCATGAACACAATGAATGATGAGAATCCACCACCCACTTATATATATATATATATTAACTTGTTGTGCTGAATAAGGAAGAAAATTTACAATGATGATATGACATAATTATGGATACATGATATATTACTCAGTAATTATTATATATGTAACAACCTCGATCCATGATTACCTGCTAAGCTATGGTTAAGGCCTCGTTTGGGAACAGGCTAATTTAGTAACTTTTTTGCTATTTGGCTAAAATATGAGCTAAAAAAAACTAGTATGTTTGGGATGACTTTTTGACTTTTTACGAAAAGATGTGCAAAAAAGTAGAGAGAAAACAGAATCTTTGACTTTTTGATATGGGTTGTTAGTTTTTTGGCTAATTTAATAACTTTTTGGCTTTTTGGCTAAAAGGGTGGTTCCCAAACGAGGCCTAAGTATGCCTAACGAGTGATTAAGATCAAATTTTGAATTAATTGCATACAAACAGCATCATTTGTGTTTATACATATTATTCGTAGAAATATCTATTTGTATTTCTGTTTCATTCTGTGAATTGAAGGCTTTATCAGCATCAGAATATGAAACTGACTTGATTTTTGTGTTAGTTAGAATTTTTATAATTCTATGGTAGGTTCAATCGAAATTCGACTCGAAATGGATTAATTAGAATAATGTCCAATTGATTAGCTTAATCAATAATTTAATTAAGCACTAACTAAGCCAATATAAGGCCTATGTGAGCTCATTAGTTCACTTTACACTCTCCTATCACCCTACCTTAAAGAGAAAAACATAGCGAGAGAGTGAGAGAAGAGAAGATTGAGCTCATCTTAGGAGAATTGCTAGAGAATTTGGGGAGTTTGGCTTGGGGCTTCAAACAATTGACCATTGAGAGTATAATTGACCATTAAAGGTAAGAATTCAACCTTCTAGCTTTGAGATTAAGTCACTTAGCACATGAATTCAAAGAATTGAGTTGTGTAATGCAAGAATTGAACTTAGATGGTTGACTATAGGAGTGTATCATACATGCTTGCATATAGCATAACATTTTAAGTTTGATTCTAAAGAATTTTCACATACAAGTGTCTATCTTGACTTGGTTTTGAGAATTCATCACATTTCTTACCATTTGACCTTAATTGATCATGTTTTGGAAAGTCTAAGGTCATTGTAATTCATGCATGTCATATTCATAAGTTTCAAGTTAACTTTTGAACAATTGGTATGCTATTGGGCCTTGATTTTACGAAATGGTTTTGAATTCAACATGTTTTTCCAAGTTTAGACTTGTTTTCTCAAGTTTTGGGGCCCAAAGATTGAGTTTGAAGGCACTGAATTTGAGTTTTAGACTTGAGAGTGCAATATGAAAATTCCAGAATTTGCACCCTCCGCTCGAGTGACATATCCTGCGCTCGAGCAACCACTCTGTTACGTTTGTGTAGGTCGCGCGCCTTGAATTGTTGATGCATTGGCTACTATCAAAGTTACCTGTGCAATAATCTATGAGTAATAACTTAGTAAAGTTATGTTTAACTTTAATTATTTTCTGAATAATACGAATTAAGATTTGTTTTATGCAATGTTATATTCTGTACAATGAATGAATGATTGTCCACGTTTTTGAAATGTATTTGTGGCATCTTTAGCATCATATTATATGTGTCTCTTTATAGGTCATCGGAATACCTTTATGGCCGTCTCTTTATGAGTCATCGGAATGCTTTTATGGCTATTCCTTTATGGGTCATTGGAAATGTCTCTGTGCACATAAGTCATCGAAATGCCTTATGGCTGTCCCTTTATGCATCATCGGAATACCTTCACGGCCGTCCCTTCATGGGTCATCGGATTTGTTATCGCAAATGGATGTGCCACGTACTATGATGTGAAATATACGAACTTTGAATACAAATACGACTACGCATATGAAACTGCTTCTTCTTGACATCTGATCATGTACAAGACTTTGCTTGTGTATAAACATCATTCAGTAAAATCTTTACTCTGTTATTATTCACTGGGCTTCCACCCACTATTTATATTATGTATTTAGATGAGCAGGCGTGTGACCAGGCCTAAGCTGTTGCTTGGAGAGTTTGGATCAACTAGCCACTGTGCCTCCCGTGGAGGTTCGCTTTTGAGATCCGATCAAGTTTTTGAGAAATAAGCCTTTGGGGCTTTTGTACCTTTTGATGTTTAT